TTTTGTTGCTACCATGACCATCAGTAGTATGATTAAATTTAAATCTTTGGTGGTTACAGATCCATCTCATTTGTAAAAGGGTGAATAAGAGAGGAAGCTAAGAAACCCAGTGGGAATTTTTTTTTTAAGGTTATGAAAAAACAAGGAGAGAGAGAAGCTGGAGGTGGGGAAAATGGGGGGTGCTTAAATTGGGGACAACTTGAATACTGCCATCAATTAGATTAATCTATTCATCTTTTCGCTGTCCTCTGTAGGCTGAAACCTCAGATTACTCTGTTACCTCTCTGAACTCTCTGGAATGCTATCACATAATTAGCTGAGGATTAGCAAAACCTGACAGCTTTTAATGGGATCAGAGGCAATATTTCCTTTAAAAGTACACATCAACTGAATGCAAAAATTGAAAGATACAAAATTGGAGAAATACAAAATTTGAAAGATATAAAATTGGAGAGCTGTTGCCTTAAAAAAAGAATATATTAATATCTCACTTAAAGAATATCTCTCAGCCATGATTTGCATGTGATTTGTGTGTGTTCTCCACAGGTTTATATGCTGGAAGCTTGTTCTCAAGTGTTGTGGTGTTGGTAGGTGATGACACTTTTAAGAGGTGGAGTCTATAAAAAGGCGGTTAGGTTACCTGAGGTACCATCACTGGATGGTAATGATGTAATTATTGCAAACCCCCAGTTAGAGTGGGTTGTTATAAAAAGAGTAGGCCTGGCTACCCAAATCCCTCTGGTTTCCTATTTTGTCATATAATCATTCTTAAAAGCACTCCTACACTAGCTCCCACCATCGTGATACCATCAACCATGAGATCCTCACCAAAGCTGAGCAGATGCTCCATGCTCTTGAGTCTTCTGAACAATGAGCAAAATAAACCTCCAATTTTTCTTCATAGCAACAAAAAATGGACTGCTGAGGATGTATGTGGTAAAGTATGTGCTTGTTGTACTTGGTGTCTCAAAGCCCTGGGTTTAATTGCTAGCAACACACACACACACACACACACACACGGAAATGAACTAATACACTCTCCTAAAATTTAATAAATGTGATTTGATTAAAATGTATGAAATTGCATTTGGTAGTGTTTCTCAAACTATACTCCAAGAAACATTCATGTCCTACTAAATATTAACTGTTACTTCCTTAAAACTGTATGACCTTATCAAGTATATTTCAATATACTACAGACTATATTTGCCATCTGAGTGAATCACAGTATTTATCATAATATAAATACTGAAAAGTCCTTGCAGTGAGAGAAAAAAAATTGTTTAATTTCATCGAACCCAGAATTTTTTTTAAAAAAATTGTCTATGAAACTCCCCTACCTTCAAACACTGATAATGGTGTTTTTTTTTTTCTGGAAAACAATAATAAAAATAATAAAACAATATACTCCAATAATATGATTTGTAATTTTTCTGGTGTTTTGCTTTTTTTTTTTAAATTAATGGTATCCAGGGTTGAACCCAAGGCCTTGTGCATATTTCACAAGCACTCTACTGCTGAGATACACACATAGTCCCTTTTAAAGTTTTATTTGAAATAGAGTCTCACTAAATTGCCCAGGCTGACCTTGAGCCTCCTGTCTCAGCCTCCAAAGTAATGGGGATTATAGGCATGTACCTCTGTACCCAGCTTGCTTTTGTTTTTAAAAGCAGAAATAGCTGAACTGCATGGGACCTGTGATATTAAAGTTTAATATGGAGTTAAGTAACCTGGTCATGAGCTTTAAACCTTATGACACTGTTCTTTTTTACCATGCTTATTTACTTCCCTATGTCTCTATCAGCCTCTATGCACGTTAAGGACAAGATCTAAATTTTGATTTCCATCGTGTCTCTGAGAAATTCCCTAGTGTCTGACACTTTGTAAATATTCCATAAATAAGTAAATATTTGTTTGAATGAGTGAATGGACACTGTAGTAGACATCTTTTAAGTTATAGTTATAACCACATTAGAATGAGTGTTTAAAAAAAATAATGCTTGGCTTCAATGTAAAAATAACAGAAATAAAAGTGAGAGGGACTAAATTGAACTGGTCTTTAATAGCTTTGTCAGAGGCCAATAAATTCCTCACCAATTACTCTATTGTCTGATGCTTCATTGCTCCTGTTAGCCGGTCTATTTGAAGTCAATGTTCATTCTATTCTATAATTTTTCAATTTGTTTTTAAGTCTTTATATCTCCAATTACCTTCCAATAGCTGTTTCTTACCTGCCACTTACATTTTGTTGGATGACTTTTTAAAAGCAAAACTAACAGAGAACTTTATACATCATAAGATGTCCTAAAAAGCTTATTGAAAAAATGAGAGAAGGCAGTGAAGGCCTGGGGTGAAGGCCATGAGGTATAGAAGAGTTAAAGGAGGTAAGATTTTGAATTTATTGTAAAAATCCTTATTGAGTGCCTATCCTGCTCTGGCCTCAGTGTACAAAGTCAAGAAAATGAAAGGTCAGACAAAAAAACAAAACAAAACAAAACAAAACAAAACCACCACAATTTTTATAGTACAGATAGAATTAAGATTTATCAAAATTTTATTCCTACAAGTCAGTTCATACTCTAGAATGGCTTGATAATTCTAGAGTAATGGTTTGATATGTAAATTGTTCATCTTACATATGGTGCTCTGTTTTGATACAGATTCATTTTTTTTATCTTGATAATGCTTCAAATTTTCCTAAAATTATACAATAATTTATAGACCACCACAACAGAATTTTGTCATGTAAAATTAATTTTAGTTATCTGAAATCAAAGTAATAACTGTTAAAAAGTCCACTCAAAGAATGGTTTTAACCACGGTTGATAAACTATGTCCTATGGACAAATTTAGCCTGCTACATGTTTTCATTTGTGTGTGTTTTCTTTTCTTCTTCTTCTTCTTTTTTTTTTTTGGTGCTAGGTATTAAATCCAGGGTCTTACATATGCTGAGCATGCACTCTACCACTGAACTACACCCCCAGGATCAATGTCACATGTTTTTGTAAATAAAGTTTTATTGGAACACAGCCACACCTATTTACTTTCATATTGTCAAGTCTGCCTTCATGATCCGACAGAAAGTTTGGCAGTTGCAGCGGGGACTGTATCTTCTGCAAAGCTACAAATATTTGTTATCTAGCCATTTATAGAATTAATGTGCTGACTTCTTGTCTAGACAAGCCCTGGTAATTTGAGCCAAATAAAATGATAATTGGAGATAGAACAAAATGATTGATAACTAAAAAAAAATTTAATATCTTCTTTTGGATATGATTTTGTTCCTGTATTTGAATATGATGTGAATATTATTCTGGGAATTTTTATCTAATAAAAGTAATATTCTCTTCACTGAAGGATATTAAAGATCTGAATCAGTAGCAGTTGAGAGTTCCATGTAACTTTTCCATGCTGTTCCTTTGTTCAGTATCTGTAAGTGCAGACATGAAAAACTCAGATGTCTAACTTTTCTAGCAATATATTTTATGCAGGAAACAGCTTGTCTGGGAAGGTAATATATTTTAGTGGATACTGTAGCCAGATTCCAAGATGGCCCAAATGATTTTTAATTCCTGATATTCACTTTGTGTCATCTCATTCTACACATAACAGGGATGACTTGTGTAACCAATAGCATATTGCAGAAATTATGGGGTGTAATTTCTGAGCATAGGTAATAAAAAAAATATTATGACTTTTATCTTCCTTTGAAAGAATCAACTACTATGTAGTAAGGACACTAGAGCAGCTCTTTGGAAAGGTCCAAATGATGAGGAACTGAACTTTCTGCCAAGAACCAAAGAGCAACTGAGGCATCCTGCCAACACCCATTTTGAAAACAGACCTTCAAGCCCCAGTCAAGTCTTTGGATGACTGAGGCTTTTGCTGACATCTTGATGACAAACATCTAAGAGACCTTGAGCCAGACCACCAAGCTAGTGTGCAGAATATATGAAATTATAAACATCACTGTTTTAAGCCACAATTCTTAGAATGACTTGTACACAGCAATTGATAACTAATATGGTGTATAATATTGTGTGCTCTGGTTTCTTGGGGTGGGGGCAGGGGGCTGGAGATCACATCCAAGGCCTCACATATGCTAAGCACCTGTTTAACTACCAAGTTACTGCCCCACCTTAGGACTCTGATATATTTGAACCCTGGACCTGCAATTTGCTACGTATGTGTAACCTTAAGATTTCTTAATTATGTTATTTAGCTATCTCATTTACAAAAATGGGGATATAATCGTTCTTGTCTTATAAAATTGTGTGGAATTCAATGAGATAATGAATAGAAAAAAAAACCTTTTTGGCATGTAGTAATTGCTTAAAAAAAATCTTAACAATTATTTATTTGTAATTGTTATTAGAACTGATTAATTCACCTAAGAATTATTTAAAATTTTTTTTTCAGTTATACATTTATTTATTCTTATATGGTACTGAGGATTGAACCCAGTGCCTCACATGTGCTAAGTGAGAGCTCAACCACTGAGCTACAGCCCCAACCCTCTCCTAAAAATTCTTTCAAACATATTTTTGTTGTTGTTGGCAACATATGTGAATATATAGTACAATTTTAAAGAACTTTATTCTACATCCTGAAGTGTATACAATGCAGAAAACTGAAAGTAAAATTGATACTTCAATAAAGCAAGTAATTGAAAGAAGCTATTGTCTGTATACCTAAAAAAAACATGAGATATATTACTACATAATACTGCATATTAACAACACAGGGTGAAGAGCAGGCCACTACCCAAGAACATAGGTAAAAACTACACAGTCTAACTTTAGCCACATTTTTTTTTAAATGAAGTGACAAATGTAATTTTTGATCTAATTTGCTAAAGCCTAAACCATACATATAGGTTTTTGGTAAAAATAAAAGATAAATAGCAAAATAATACGATTCTTTGCAGATTGTTCGAGTTATCTAAACCTTCTTTAATCCAAGGGATTATTGAACAAAACCAACATTCATTCAAAAACACTTAGGAAATCTGTTGTGGATTACCAACATCATCAGTTAAACCTGTTTCAAATTTATTGCTTTCATTCAGTTTAAATAATAAAAAGGTCCATTTGTCCCACCACATGTATATACATGAATTTAGCTTTCATCATTCTCTACAGATTTAATCCAGTGATTTATGTTTTTTAACGCATATTCAAAGAATCTGTTGAAGAAGCTCACCCAGACAGACAGAAGAGTGAGGTGGGATTAACCAAATGCATGCACGCTTTAAAGCCAGTGGATTCCTTTTGAGGTAAGTTGGAAAGAGAGAAAAAAGGTAACATTGGAACTCTCCTTGAGATTCTAATCATTGTAATGACTTCTGCATAAGAGAACATGCTAAGGTGGAGAAAGTTCACCTGCTTCCCCAAACCCATGGCATGGAAGAGAAGCTGTTACTCCAACCCTTCTTTTTTTAACAGTGGAAAACACCAGTTTAGTTTTTTCTTAGAGAAAAATCTGCCTTCTAATTATTCCTCATATTAATGGTTAAATTCGAGGTTTCAGACTCTGATTTTCGTTGTGAAACCATTGTATTTCACTTAATATTAAAACCAGCAGCAAAAGCTGGGGGGGGGGGGAGTGAATTAGGCAAGGTGTCTTCTAAAAAAATTTTTATAGCAATGCACTACATTATTTTAAGATCTTCAGATAGCAAATTCTCAGCCAAAAAACAAACAAAAAAAGGAAACCACCGAAAAATAAACTCTGACTTATGCTGTTATTAATGACTTTAAACGTTTAAACACCCTCAGTTCAAGTTTTGCAGCAATATAGTATTGAAAGAAAGACAGGAAAAATCTTTTTCCCAATAGGATGAAACCTATTCTACACTATCAGGTATTTTGTTTCCATGACATTCTAATCTTTATGCATATTAGGAACTTCTTTCATACTAATATTGTTTGGTCTAGTATTTTAACAAATATCCTTTTTTCCATTAACTTCTTTCCAAACAGAGAAGAGAAGTGGAGACTTGCTAAGCACATTTTAGAACTTCATTGAACTCAATATGTAATTCTAAGTATTTTCAACCCTTACTTTATTATAACTTTCATGGTTTAATAGAATACCTAGGGCTATGAAATGTTTTGTGTTCATTAACTTTTAAAAAGGAGGAGATGTCCTGTCTAATTACCAGCATTTAGGACAGAATAAGAAGTGTTCTGCATACTTTCCAGATTTTTATCCACAAAACAGACAATATGTAGGGCCATGAAAATAGGAGGTGGAATCCAATACTATCTATCAGTAGCTTCCACAATAATGGAAATGTTTTAAATTTGTGGTGTCCAATATTATAGCCACCAGCTAGATGTGGCTATTGAACATTTGAAATGTGGTTAATGCAACTAAAATTTTCATTTTACTTATTTTAATTAATTTAAATTTCAATAGATAACAAATGACTAGATTTTCCAAAGAACAATTGATTTCATGATTGATAATCTTAATTTCTAGTTCCTGTGGTTCTTGTCCCCACATTGTTAATAATGTCTAAAAAAAAAAGAATCAAACTTTCGTCTACCACCGAGCTATACCCGCAGTGCTCTGAGTTATTTTTAAATGCTATAGACATAATAATACCTATCCCTTGGTGTATTTTTGCTTGTGTGTGAAAAACTTAGTTACTCAGATAAAATTTAATTTCATTGTTTCAAATTCATGGCTTATTAATATAACTGAATTCTTGTCTCATACTATAATTATCTTGAAATTTCCTCAAATAGAAGTGTCAAGAATTATTTTAAGAATAAAAAATGCTATCAGATCTTTATTTTCTATTTACATAAAAATGCAAAAATGCTTTTAGGATAATATTTGTAGAGTAACCAATTAGGATTTAAAAAATCACCCATTTCTATTTTTGGATCTTAGGTTCTCCTTCAGGAAGACCGGTATTTGGTTGGAACAGAGGGAAACTTTGTCCCAGGAGAACTACACCTGAAGGTACTTATTATCATATAATTTAATTTTATTAGCTTATTTATTTATTTATTTTTTGTTGTGCTGGGAATTGAACCCAGGGCTTTGCACATGCTAGTTAAACATGGTTGCACTGAGCTACAACCACAGGCCTAATATCGTAAAATTATTTTAAGTGTTGCATACATGATGATTCTAATTCCAAATAATTTGTGGAATGGAATTCTAAGTAAAGAGGAAGTTAGAGTATAAAAAATACAAAGTTTCAATAGACTAGTGTTTTCATTATGACCTGATATTTGATTTATTTTGCATTTTATACTTATTACTCCAGTTCTAAAATTCCTAAGTCATCATTTTATTATTTCCTAGTCCCTATTATGATGTATTATTACAAGGTTATAGACAGGCCATTTAGTTTCATGTTTTTGTTTATTTGTTTAATTCCAGTTTGATGGCTAATGCCACCATAAACTGCTATTATTTTAAATCTATGTAGGATCAAAACTAATAAAAAACAACCTGATGGCAACCAATATAAATTTATTGAAGTAGATGATTTTCAAAGTGCATAGAACACCCAGTATCTCTTCCTATTAGTCCCCTACATGCAAAATCCTTTGTTGTTATTGTTTGTTTGATTTTATATATGCTTCCAAAACAATAGAGTCTGTGATCTGTCAGCACTCCAAATTCCATATTTTTCTTTCAAGACTGCACTCTCATGTGCCTCTATGCAGAACTGCAATATCTTGCCTACTCCGGCCCCAAATCTATTCTGCACTGCCTGTCAATCACATCACCTTCCAAGGAACTTGACTGCGTACAAATCAAGATTGAGTCAAGTCTACTTCTAATCAATAGATCCTTATAGATTGTTTTAGTGTACCTAAATCACTTCCCAGAAAATATCTTGCCATCTCATTTCTAATGGGAAAACATCAGATGAGATTTCAATCTGGGCCACTAAAGAAGAAAGGCTAATGTACTCTTCTGATCCATCAAGGGCTAAACTCCATGTAGTTCTTACATGATATGGGAAAATGTTTTCTCTCAAGTCAAAGACACACGATGGGAACATTTTCACTGGGTGCAATGTGCAAGGAAGGAGAACAGCTGAAGTAAATGTGTGCTGCCAGATTGTTTCAACACTGCACAAAGCTTGAGCATTCCCTCAAAACCTCTGCAGTGTTGTCAAGAAAATGCCAAAAATAAAAGTGCCTCCGGAAAAAAAAAATGCTTTGAAATTTTTTTTTTCTCTTTAGCAAATCAACAGCTAGAATAGCAGCTAATAGTTCTTTGACTAACCACACAGTCCATTTACTATCCATATTCCAAAGATATTTATTGCTGTAGTAAGATAGTTAAATAATATGCTAAGCAGCTGTTCTTAACAATCTGTCCTGTTCTGTAGCTGAAGGAACTAGTGGCAAAATTTGTATTTATATGTTGGTCTTTGTAGTTAACAAAATCCTCTCAACTACATCATCTTATTTAATCTTAATGGCAACACTATGAAAGAATTAGGGTGTCCCTGAATTACAGTCAGAAAACTGAAGCTCAGAGTTGCAAGCTGCCTGTGTTCAAACAGGTGGCATCTTTGAAATATATCTTTAAATATTAGAAGATTCCAGAACCTATTTTCTTTCTGCTATATTATATAAAAATTGGACACTTATATCCACCAAATTATTTTTCTCATGTTTGAAGTTTAGTTCTGAAAGAAATGAATTATGGTCTAGGTCACTCCTAGATAGGCTTGCAGTATTTCTGAGTCCACCCTGCAGGATGGGCTGCTGCATTCAGCGTAATGTAAAGCTCTGCCTGAATAAGATGGTGGCTACTGAAGGACAGTCATGTCAGGAATTCTGCTACAGCCAGACATGTAGGCCAGAATGAATTGAGCCTTTAGTCCGCAGCATCCTCTGAGAATCCCTTTTTTTAGCTGTGCTGGGGATGGAAAACAGGCTCCACCATGCTAAGCAAATGCTCTACCACTGAGTTGCATCCCCAGCCCAGAGAACACATTCTTGATTGTGGAGGGCAGCCTCTAAGGTGGCTCCCAGTGGTCCCCTTCTCCTTGTATTGATGGATAATTCCCTCTGCTTGAGACAGACTGGACCTAGTAACTTTTTTTCTAATTCTGAGATTAAACAACAAAGGACTTTGGCTCTGTCAGGCCACCCCTCTTGCTCTCTAGGTCTTTCACTCTGATGGAAAATAGATGCCATTTGTCCTACAGAGAGTACTATGTGGCAGGGAAATAAGGGGCGGGTGGGGGGGGGCTCCTGTCAATAAATACAAGGACATAAGGCCTTTTGCCCAACAACTCATAAGGAAATTAATGTTGTCAGCAATCTCTGAGGGCACTTGGGAATAGGTTCTTCTCCAGTCTGACCTTGAGATGACTTCAGATATGGTTGTAGCCTTGATGGCAGCCTTGTAAGAGACCTGATCTAAACGACCTACTCTGGCTATGCCCAAAATTCCTGACCCACAGAAACTGAGATCATGTTTGTGTCCTTAAGCCATTCAATTCTGGTAGAATTTATTACCTAGCCTTAAGTTGTTAAATTTGGGGGAAAGTTTGCCTCACAGCAATATATAACACCAATTTTAACAATATAATAACACATGCAATGAATTTAATTGAATTCTTTTTTCATACCCTTTGAGGAAACAATGAGTTTCTAACAACTTGCCTTTGATTTTGAAAAGGATTTGATGTTAGGTTACTATGAAAATTGTTTAGTGGCTAACATCATTGCTTCTGGGCTGTCTGGATTTGCTCCAAAACACTGGGGAAGTTGTTGAATCTATCTGATCCTCCGTGTTCTCATCTGTAAAGGAATCTACCTACACTAACCTACCTCATAGGATTTTGCTTGTTTTTTAAAGAGAGAGTGAAAACAAAACAAAATGTTCAGTACCTAGGAGGTATTTAGAAAGTATTCTGTATAATGGCTAAATTACATTTTTTTTTTGTATATGTAAACGCAGGTCTGTTCAGAGAGAGAAAATTCAGTGCTTATATTTATGTACAATCCTGTTTTGAGATGGTAAGCTTCTGATAGGCAGAATGGAGATTTATTAGGCGAAATAAAGAGAATGTTAGCATGAGAATTAGAAGACTTGAATTTTATTTTCTCTTTAGTTTCTTAATTGAAAAAAACTGAGGCATTAGCTATAAAATTATGTTATATTTCAATCTATTTTGTAAGTCACCAAAGTCTGCATAAAACAATTTCATCTACATCATGCATGTCATATTAGTAAGACCAAAAAAATACTAATTTTATTTCATATTTTCTATTCATTGGACTTCTCTTTTCTTTATCTCTTCTCTTTCTTCCTCTTCTATGCAATCCTTTCTAACAAAGGAGACTGATGATGGACTCCAAATGATGTTGTTCTATTCCCTTGATAATCAAAGAACTCTCATTAAAACTAGAAATAATGACACCCTGAATGCCAGGAATAGGTCTAGGGACAGTAGTAAAATACATTCTAAAATCTTTTGCAAGATGCAAAAGTCATCTGAGTACATGATAATAGCAGATGTGTAATGTCTTAAAATAGAAGCCAAGTTACAATGATTTATACTATCTGTTTCTCAAATCCTTTGGGTGACATGAACCCTTTTCCTGTCACATTTCTGAAGAGATAATTGCAGGAAATACTGTAAACAGTTGAACATTCACAGGTCATATTGAGAAATGTTTATAGATATTGACAGCTAAATACAACATATCACAGCACCAGGCACAAAACTTTTCCCACTTCGCTTTTACAAATCAAAATTAAAAGGCCAAGTTTTGCTTTGGCAATAAAGGAATTAGAAATATTTGTTGAGTGGGAAAATGAATGAATAAAGAATGCTATTTAAGATTATGGGTTTGTATGACATATTTGAGATAATATTAATAACCATTTTAATTTTTCTTTAATGAACTTTAAGGTTCTATGTGTTAACCCTTTAGATTTCAAAATTAAATAACAAGTTTACTCACAATAGGGAAAAGATTTCTCTAAGCTCTTTACTAGATAGAATTTTTTTCATATTTATTATCTAATAGTCATGCAATGTTGGTATCAAACTTTTTTAAGCTGAAAACTTACACAATTTATTAAAAAATAAAAATTAATTTATTAAGGCAGTGTGGTGATACACACCTGTAATCCCAGCAGCTAAGGAGGCTGAGACAGGGGGATTGCAAATTCAAAGCCAGCCTCAGCAACAGGGAGGCCCTAAGCAACTCAGTGAGATCCTGTCTCTAAATAAAATACAAAATAGGGCTGAGTATGTGGCTCTGTGGCCGAATGCCCCTGGGTTCAATCCCTAGTACGTCCCCCCAACAAATTAATTTATTGAAATCTTAAATAATAGAAATATCTACTGGGAAGTAGCTGCAAATAAGCAAAAGCTCTAAATAAAGGATATTTTCTAGCTGAGGCTATATAATGTAATACTTTGGGAAAAGTGGAAAAAAATAAACTTTATTTACTTTTATTGGGCACAAGAAAAATTTACACGTACATGAAGAGAAAGATCTTCCTAAGAAAAAAGGCTAACTTCTCAATCTTTGCTTGTTGGTAACTAAACATAGATAGTCTGGATATAATTATTTAAGTTTTCCTTTAAAATAAAAATTTGTGTGTAGTTGGTGTCTATACATATACACACTGGTCAGTTTATAGGTAGAACAAAATTGCTGATATTTTTAATTCAATTACCTTACTTAGCTATCCAAAAGTTTTGGAAATCTGTTTTTTTCCCCAAAAAATTTAATATGCATTTTAGCTATATACTTCCCTTCTAATGGGACTTTTTTTTTTTGCACAGTTTGGTTTCACCTCTATTCATATAATTCATATCTTCTATTTATTATTTATAGGATTGTCCTTTACTTTGCAACCAAAAATATAGATTGATCTCTGTGAATGTTGATTTATTATTTGGAAAGCCATTTGTGCCCTTGTTCTTGTACCTTAAGGATGATAATTTAACAAATATTTTGGCATCT